CCCTCGTCATTAATTTGCTCTCCCGGTATGGGATCGAGAAACACAAAGTTGAAAGATGTCTAAAAACAGAAAATTAAGGTATCTTGTAGATGACCATCCTCAAGAACAGACATACAGCTACATGCGCGTGTTATGTCGTTATATTGAACGAATCTGATTGGCTCTCTCATCATTTTATATATATTCGTGATAGAACACTATCGAGCTCGTGCTTCTCTTGATACTGCATACAGCTGTAGGCTTGGAACTGCATCCCCTTAGAGTGTCTTGTAAAACAATCAGACCGCTGTCCCTCAGTTACGTCTCTTTGACTGTTTGCTCAAAGAAAACTCAGGTTTACGTTATTATTGTTAAATGTTTTACCACAGCCAGTCAAAATTACTACAAGATCATGTGCATGATAATATCATCGGCTGCCAAAAAAAAAATCGGATGCCAAACTGTCACTACAGTTTTTACTTATTACCTCACAAGAATCTTAGGGTTATTTGAGTCAGAAATGTTCAAAGTCTCAATAAAGAGAGGAAAAAGAGAAACAAACACTGTAGAGGCAACTTACTGAGAAATCTGCATCTGTCTTCAGGTGATCAGAAGTCTCGACACATTTGTCCATTACTACCTAAAGTACAATTGAGATCATGAGTATCATAGCAGCCTGAAATATCACCGGTCGAGGGGGGAGGTAACCAGTTCAAGGGGATCTCCTCCTAAGGGCCCCACCCCTCATAATGAAAAAGGGCAAATGTACCCCCCCGCCGTTACTTTCACTGGCTCCCAAATACATGATATTACAAATATTCATTTGCATAATGAACTCACATCAAAATATGTCAAAAACACCAATTGTCCTTAAAAATCATTCGCAACTCTTCAGTTGGATTGAGGTAATTTTATGGCTTTCATGTACCTTGGCCACATCAGGAAATTTTTCAATAAGTTGCTTCATCATGCAAAATCCATCATCGTCCCTGACTTCAACAGATTCTTTCCAGCTAATTAATTGAAACAAACAAGCAAGAAATAATGTAGTAAATGATCGGTTTGTTGGTGTAAATGATGAGTAAATAGACTTCCACAGCCTTAGAACTTAGCAATAAAAAAAATAAAAACCCAGCCATGATCCCAGGGGTATTGGGAGGGGGAGGGGGAGGGGCTGAATATTCATATGAAAGAGCTGGGGGTGATGATCGGAAACTTTGAAAGAACCCTCAAAAGGGAGCTAAGCGTAATTTACACCGATTCTAAAACAAAAGGTAGTACCAGATGACAGTTTTTTTCCCGATACTATCCAATACCTACACGCATACACGAAACGATAATGAGCCACGAATTTTAATCGGCGTTAAGATGTATCAAGAGACGGTTTCTTGGATGTATGAAGAGCTCACTTCCCTCGACGCCATACCTCATCCGTTTCTACCCTAATCCTAAACTACTGGTAGAAATCTAACGGTGTTTATCCTAGATTTAAACGCCAAACGTTACCAAGCCAAGAATCATAATCGTTCATTGGGAACAAAAATCCACCAACTGTTACAGTGTATACAAGAATCCACCCCTCTCCCAGGGGCGCACTGCCTCACCGTTTGTGTTTGATTATTTCCATACAGGTTTGTTCCCGGGATCCTTTAATGGCGGAGTCCAAACATCCTTTTCCAAACACAGACTTATTTTTCACATCCGCACCACGATCCAACAGCAAACGAACTGTGCGAGGGTTACCAAAGTACGCAGCTATATCTATAGCGGACGTCTAGGGAAGAAAAATTACAAAAATTAAAATATTTAGGGTACAATGTCAAGGTTATGAGTATCTCTGCACGTAAGATACTCATAACCATTTTGAGCCAAAAAACAAATTTCCTTGAAACTTTGCTTGTGAGTTGAACTTAGTGTGGTAAGTTTTAAAATGAATTTCGATTGAGTGTTTTGAAGCTATTTAACAATTAGATTGTTCGCTCTCGACTTCTATCGCGTGATAGTTGACGAGGGCGCAGCCCCTGGTTTAAAACCTTATCTAAATTCTCTTCACAGACACTTCGAAAACGCCAAGAAGCGGCCGTTATTTTGTTAACAAGGGCACACTGCTTCGCTACTCACTATTTACAACAGAATAGATAGTGAGTAGCGTAGCCAATCAGAGAACGGCATTCTTGGTAGAACCCTGGTAGATTTATACTAAAAATAAAATGTGGTGGCTAATTGGCCTGTGGAACCGCTTTAAAATGTTTGGGAAATATTAGTATTTCCAAAATTTTATATATAACGTTCTATCACGAATGCCGTTCTCAAGACAAGACATGTCCCCATCACCAGATGACAGTACATCATATGGCATGTGATTGTAAGGGATGTGAGCTGATGTGTGAGGGAATTAGACTGGAATTCCCTGCTCATGTATAAGTCTTGAAAAAGTCACAATAATAACGACGAAAGTCTGCTTTACCTTATTTTTGGAAACTGCGCCAATCTTTGCTCCA